CGGGGGACACCAGAAATGGGCTTAACACATTGTGCCCATGTGGGGAATCGAACCCGGGTCTTCGGCGTGGCGATCCAACGCTTTAACCACTAGGCTACCCCACCGCCCCAAATATTTCTTGAAGAAATGAAGCAAGTTGCATCATGTTATACATATCTGCAATAACAACCTGGATAGGAAAATCTGAAAAAACACGATTTTTTTCGATGATTGTTCGTTGGTAATGAATCAATCATCAATTGTGAGATTTCAACCAATTCCCAACACTACTCCAGAGGAATAGGAAAGGACTGGCACAGCAAAAGTATTGGTGGCTTTGACCTTGTTCCGAGCATTAAGTTCTGAGCTCCAGATTTTCTTTAAGCAAGCTTTATACTCGGCCTGAAGTTTGTCTTGAATCTGGGCATTCTGGAGCTTGTCTCGAACTTGCATTCCAAGATAGGTGTAGGCCTATGTTCCACAAGATGCTCAATATTTCCTCCCCTTTGTAACCCGACCGATCCATCATTAATTACCTTGCCACGTTTCAAATGAAGAATATTACATTTGTCCCGGACTCGACAGGGAGAACCTGCTCTTTCAAACTGTTATCTCCTTTGGCCATGAGCTCAATGCCATCCATGTAAAGAAAATGAGTAAGCGGTGCTGAGGATCTGTGCTGGGGAGGTCCGGGATGATAACACTCCTCTCTGTTGAGCAGAAAACTAAAGACAAACAAAAAAAGTAAAGGACTGAAGGAGTCCCCCTCTGAAATATACCCCTTCTGACTGGAATAGATTCTGAAGTCTGCACCTGCCCTTGCGGGTACATCTCAAGTAGAGTCGACCAGCAACTCATTAAATCAAGTAGTCATTCAAGGTGGTCAATACAATGAAGAGACTTCAGAATCTATTCATGAGGGACAGAGTCGGATGCTTGTTTGTAGTCAATCCAGCACATGGAGAGGTTGCGGCGATATGTTTTAGCCTCTTCCAAAATCATTTTTGTACAAGACGTTGATCCTTGCACCCTCAACATCACTTTCTCGCCCCTTTCTCCTCTCTGCAAATTATATCATTAGAAGAGCAGTAAGATGACACAAGGTTTGTGTCGCTCATTATTATTATTATGCTTTACAGATTATGATGAAAAATGCAGCCGAGAAGGTTCGAGTGATCCTGGCACAGTCAGGCTGGTAAGGCTCATCATCAGCTCAGGGCCCTTGCCCCTCTACACGCATCCCAGACAGCGAATGGGACTTCCCCCAGGAAAAGCTGCCTAGTCGAACATACCAAGAACCAAGAGAATTATTATTATTATTATTATTGAAGAATACTTTGAAATTTTGAAACAATCATTGCATAAGCTGGATCTATGATGAAAGAGGTATTATAATGGAGCACAACCCATGTAACCAATCGAGGGAGTAAATCTGCATTGAGAAGAACCAGTACTTCCAGGGATTCCATCACAATGGCAGTAACTGCCAATGCCAGTGGAAGATTCCCTAATCATTTTTAGGGACAAACATGGAGAGCTTTGAATGCCTTCAAAGTAAGCACTTGTCTTAAGGGAGCTTTCTGGACATGGCAATCCAAGGCAACAGCCTTATTATGGAGAACAATTTTTCCCATCTGCTTCAACCTAATAAAGGAAATGTTCAACTTACACTTTCAGTAAGGCGGACAAAGTTGGCGGACTTTTGATAGAGATTGAGATTAAATTGCCTTCACCTTTCCCAGTCTATGGAAACAAGCAGGTTTTAACCCAAAAGAGCAGTTTGCTGTAAATATCCGATCACACAATGATTTAACATGATCAAAGGCCAGTACTGGATAATTAGATAATGAGCCAATAAATTTGCAGACATTGCCAACTCGTAGCCACAGTTTACAGTTAATTCACAGAAAAACTGGGAGTGAAATCAACACATTTTTTGTATTGACAATATAAGGCAATTAAATCTGCAGGTTCTTTTATAAATAAAAATTTGAATAAAAAGCATGGTAATTATAACTTATAACAAGCATTACAATTCTGTTCCAGGATCATTTGTAAATACAGCCAGCCTCATTTCACAGAGCAAGGACATGCCTGATGATGTCCACAAACAGTGAGGACGAGTCTAAAATTCAGATGATTTTGATTCCTTTTAATAAACATATCAATGTGTTATGGGTTTTCGACATCCTTTGTTTTCTCGATTATCACACAAATAATTGTAATGTCACTAACATATACTGAACTGCAAAAGAAAGGCAACCTTTCAAAACCTAATGCAAATTCTTTTTCTCACAAGGTGCCGTATTTATTGTGATTGTTCTGGTTTGTTAACATGTTTTGCAATCCAAATTGACAGTTAACCAAATGCACCTAAAAAGGCAGACGTGGTAAAAGGTTCCATATGACATTCATGAAAACGAAAATGGATGTGCATATCTTGACCACCCTACCAACGATAGAGTCCCAAACTCGCCTGAAATCATTCTTGCTTTTGACACAATCATCAAACCACGACTTACGAGAGAGATCAGAGGTGAGGTGAGGTGAAATTGAGTTTAATGTCGTGCTTGAGAATATTTCGCTCTTATGACGATGCATGCGTGTGTATGTGTATGTGCAGCTGCTTGTACTAGCCCAGACTGAAGCTGGTGCTATAGTTATAGTGCTAGCTCACTGAGATACCATGCCGCAGTGAAGCATGAATACCCCACTCAGACACAGTATACTAACTCCGAGCCGACCAGTCCTTGTTGTACCCATTAATGCCGAGCGCCAGGCAGGGACCAACAAGTACCATATTTTAACGTCTTTTGGTATGACGCGGTCGGGGATCGAATCAGCGACCTTCCGCTCTAACCACTACACCACAGAGGCGGTCACGAGAGAGATCAGAAGAACCAAGCCTTGGGACACTTGCAATGGATGACCTTCAGTAACATCACAACTAGGGCTGGGACGATTCACCGATGCATCACAATACATTTAAGTTTGATATAGCTATCGTATCGTGGACTGGTGTATCGATAGAAAACGATACCCAACTTTTTAATAAAAAGTATTATCTTAAACATGTTACAGTACTTATTTAGAGGAAAATATGCAAGTATGATGGAGTTACTTGTTTGTTTATTACAATAGTGTTATTGTAATACACAAATACCTTGAAATAAATCATTTTAAATCTTGATACCGTGTCCTTCTTTCAAGGTGTATGTATCGTGATATGTATAATATCTCAGGTAAAATATTGCGATATGTATCGTATCGTGACATAGTGTATTGTCCCAGTCCTAATCACAATGTCAAGACCGACAGATTGTGCACAACCATCTGCAGGATCGGTTCACCAGGGCAACGGAAACAGCACACTTGACCATTGGGACTCACCACAGACCCATTGATGTTTGTGTGGAAGAAACCTCTCCTGTCACAGACCATATGGTTGTCCTATCCTCACCACCCAAACCGACTGCAATGGGCTACTCTGCATCGAAATTGGCGTTATCGACAAAGGAGAACTGTGCTTTTTTCTGATGAAAGCCGAAAGGCGACAGCCGAGCATCCAAGCATCATGGTGTGGGGTGCAATCAGTCTGAACCAGAGAGTTGGCCCTGTGGTTTCCAGAATCTCAGTCCAGGATGAGGAAATGGCGTGACAGCTTTATTGACCAAGTCATAAGACCCCAAGTTGTATCACATTTTCAGAGATGCCAACCCTTATTTAGCCCAATTAGTATCTTTGGCCCAAAACTGATGCAAACATTAGTATTTTGGGGGCAAAATTAGTATTAACTTTTCCAAAGAATTTTCATATTAAAAACATAGAGAGATAGTCTAAGAACTTGTTATTAACATTGTACTCACCTAAATCAGTAGTAAGTATCCAAATATAGCTTGATACTAAATAAAATGTGGTTGAAATTTATTGTGCCTGGTACGTATGCTATTTGATAATTGATTTTTCTAAAAATCGTATAATTTTACTGCTATCGAAGTCGCATATTTTGTGCTGCTTTTTCGTAACAAATACGATAAAATCGTATGGGATCGCATCTCTGCATTTTGGACGTCACAGAAACCACATCTTGTAGCATGACAACGCTCATGCCCACACTGCCAGAGCAACATTGGACTTCCTAAGACAACATGGCATCCAAACCCTACTATGGCCTGCACTCGTCCAGATTTAAGTCCAATAGAACAACTTTGGGATGAGATACAAAGATGACTGAATGATCTCCAACCAAGGCAGACAACTGTGGCTGGACTCGATCAGGCATTTCACATTGTATGAACCCAAGTGCCTATGGCTTTCATCAACCGGTTAATTCAATCCATGTTACAGACGATGCAACTCCGTCATCCATGCCCATGGAGGTCACACACGATACTGACTTTGCGGTATCCTGGTGATTTTGTTTGTGTGAAATCTAAATGTGATTCACAAAAATGTTTTAATTTAACCATAATTGTCAAGGTTGAACTCAATCCTCCGTTTTGATTGTTAATTAGTGCGGATTAAAGTGAGTGCTTAAAAAAACTTTATCTATGTGGTGTTTCTTTTGCAGTTCAGTATATTACTGACAACTTTATCAAAAACACATGCCAACATCCAAATATTTACATCTATGTGATGAAACACATGAGAACGTCTGAAAACATGTGACCACAGAAAATCTGACCCAATGATATACTGATATCACTAAAATGATCATAAGTCTGTCACATGCCATTCTTTTGTAATTCAATCTGCATATGTAATAAATCAAATTTTCTAAATATATTTCACTGTGTCTACGAATTCTTGATCCCTGTGAATATCTTTCTACGTAGGTACGAAATACTTTGTTGCATGTTCCTGCAATTGCTTCACAAAAATATGTGCTTCCACTGACAGCTTACTAAACAGCTTACTAAACAGCCTGTTCTGTTTAACAAGTTTTCTCAGATTCCAATACACTTTGAGTGTACTATATACATGCTTAACTTTATATGTATATTGTATATTTACGTGCATACTTTGTCATGTGATCGTCGCATCGATGGCGAAACGTCACCCCTTCTGAACTCATAGTGGTCATGTCTTTTCCTCTCTGCTGATTTTTCACGCATATCACGACTGTCATTTCCAACGTAATCAGGATTTTCTCGACGATCTCTGCTGTGCCTATCTTGTTTATGGATCGAACCTCTGCCTCTCGATGATCGTTGAACTCCACTCTCACCACCATCAGCGCGATTGTTCAATGTAATGCGTAAACCTTCACCTCTGTTTCCGACACTGCCTCGTCCCCGGAAGAACTTTCCCCGACCCCTTATGAGCATCGGACGATTCCGTGAACGACTTCTTGAGATGAATGCCATCGTCAACGTTTCCTACATCAGATAGGACATGATGGCGGCTCTGGTTTCCACGCATGTCTTCTAACCACTTGTGTCATTGTTACGACAACAACGAAATATTTTATATTAAAAGATCGTATCGATTGTCCGAACACGATATAATTTGACATCTAATAAAAACATTTCTCGAAACAAAGTGATTATGTGTACAAATAAATTCTTTAGATAACGACATATGTCGTGATCCACACGCCGGCGCAGTGTTAGCTGGGCCCTGTCTCGCATGTCAAAAGCGATGACTAAGCAAAACATGGCATGCGCAGTCTATTACTTGACTCGTTCCCGCTACCCTGACCCGACAGTCAAGGCAGTCTGTCCCGAGTCTGTCGGATTCAGGGAAATATATCTTATTCGTTCATCATTCCTGGAATTTTATGGTGTTATAAACAGCATTAAACATTATCTTGCAACTCTTATGTTAACCAAAAGTACATCAGACTGTGTCGAAGAACATCGCTTTACTTTGCGTTGCGGTTTTAAACATGTTTATTTTACCCTTGTAGCAGCAGAAATAAAAACAAAAGGTCAGGAAAAATGGGAACTAAAATTTGGTCAGCTTGCCTGGAATGAGATTTGTGCTAAGGTGTTTAGTACAACTCAAGAAGTGAAACTTCGCCGGTTTCAATATAGGCTTGTGCACAATATACTTACTTACAACGTTTTTATTAAAACTAAAATATGTTCAGAATGATCTTTGTTCTTTTTGTCAGAGACAAAAAACTATCGTCCACTTATTTTGGGAATGTGATGTTACTATAAGAACTTTTGGGATCAATTTATTTCTGAAATGGATAGATCAGTGTGGTCATGTATGCAACATGAAGCTAAGTGCCGAAATTTATACTATTTGGAGTTCAAGAAAACATAATAAAAGACAAGGTTTTTTATTTCATTTTGCTTTTAGCAAAATTCTCTATTTATAAATGCAAATTACAAAACTTCAAAACTTATTTTTAGCAGATTTGTAAAGGAAATGAACATTAATAATAATAATAATGTACAAAATTTATATAGCGCCCTATTTGATGTGCAGCTACATCACTCGAAGGCGCTTAACAGTCAAATTGGTGGCTATTGAGCTTATTCACACTTGAACAGATAGGTCTTAATGCTCTTTTTGAAGTTGGTGATTGATGTTTCTGTTCGGAGACCGATTGGGAGACTATTCCATAGGGTACTTGCTGTCTTGTGGAAGCACCTCTCTCCATACCTAGCTGTGTGTTTTCTAGGTACTGTGAGAAGAGAGGTTGACTCAGACCGTAGAGATCGAGTCGGATTATATGGTGTGATGAGTTCCTGTAGGTATGCTGGAGCAGTTCCATGCAGGGCCTTGAAGGTGTAAGTTAATATTTTATACTGACAACGGAGGTGTTCTGGTAGCCAGTGTTCCCATTTCCTGGAACGGGTGATTAGTCTCACAGAGGCATTCTGGACTCTCTGTAGTCTGCGCATGAGAGGCTTGGGTATTCCTGCAAGTAGTGCATTCCCATAGTCCAGGTGTAATGTAACCAGAGAATGGACCAGCTTCTTACAAATTTCTTCATCAATGTATTTTCTAATCTTGCTGATGTTTCTGATCTGGTAGAAACATGATTTAGAGACGGCATTTACTTGTCTTTCCATAGTATGGAATTTGTCTAAATAAACACCAAGGTTCTTCACTTCATCAGTGGTGTGGATGTTGTGGGCACCAACATGGAGTTCCAGAACACGGTGAACATGAATTTGGTTTTTGGATTTGAAAACAGTCAATTCTGTTTTGTCCTGGTTTAATTTCAGCATGTTGGCAGAGGTCCATGCATCGATGTCCTCTAAGCACTCCTCAAGGTTGTGTGTGACAATCTGTTTGTCTCGAGGATGTATGACCTTGTAGACTTGCATGTCATCTGCATATCCATGATATGGTAAGCCATGCCACAGACAGATTTCACTGAGTGGTTTGGAGGACAGACAATATAGGACCGGGCCTAAACCAGATCCCTGAGGAACTCCAAAGCTGAGAAGCTTTTCCTCTGACACCCCAGAACCTACTGTGATGCACTGAGTCCGTCCTGACATGTATGATCTTAACCATGAGGGAGCTCCTCCTGATATGCCATAGCTGAACTGTAGTCGGTCAAACAATATGCTGTGGTCAATCAGATCAAAAACATTAGATACAAAATAGAAAAGGACATAGCTTTTAGAAACTGATCAACATAAGTTCTATCCTTCTCTTAAAGACCTTTGGGTAATTAACACCAGAAAACACCTAGAACATATTAATAGATTACTTGCTAGTTGGCGAAGAAGAAACCTGACTCTAATTGGGAAAATCACTGTTATCAAAACTCTAGCAATTTCTACTCTAGTACATATTTTCTCAGCACTTCCTAACCCGCCAAAAACATTCATCGATGAACTCAATAAAATAATCTATAGATTCATATGGAATAATAAAAATGATAAGATTAAAAGGTCTAATATCAGTAGAACTTACGAAGATGGAGGCCTCAGAATGATTGACATTGAATGTTTCATTAATGCTTCGAAATTATCATCACTGAAATGTCACTTAAAGAAAACTTCAAATTTTAATTGCATTTTTCCCTTAAGTCAACTGTACTTTCTAGGTTCTAATGCGGTTGATTGCTTATCTGGCAAAGATAATCCCTATTGGAGAGATGTTTTATCTACATGGAGAATATTTTATAAAAAACACACCTTTGACAGCGATGACTTAGACCAAATCTTAGCTCAGCCACTCTGGTTAAACCATTTCTTTAAATCTTCATACATGATAAGAAATTGGTTTAAGTGCGGTATACATTATGTCAGCGATATTTGTAATGAAATTGGATTTCTCAGTTTTGAAGATGTAAAACAGAGGTACAAAATAAGCGGGACCTTCCTAGACTATCATCATTTGTTAATAACATTCCAATGAACTGGAGACAACTTGTAGGAAACAGAACTCTCTGCTTAAATCAATTAAACATTAATAGAGTTTACCTAGATATGATCTCAAATATTAAAGGTTCAAGGATATTCTATGATAAATTGATTAAGAACAACAATACCCTAAAGTACTAGAGTATTGGAAAACTGTCTTTCAGCAGGATATAATGTGGAGTAATGTATTCAGATATTACAGGAAATGCACAAATGATTGTAAGCTGTTAGATTTTCAGTACAGATTTATTTACAGAATAATCTATACAAAGAAAGAACTATTGAAGATGAAGCTAGTTGATAATGATACTTGTACTTTTTGTAAAAATACCTCAGAAGACATATTGCATGTATTTTTTTACTGTGATTTACTTAAAAACTTTTGGCGAAAAGTAGAACAATTTCTAAATGCCCACCTCCAGTGTGATGTCACATTTACAAAATTCACTATCATGTTTGGAATGTTCTCAAACAATAAAATACTAAACCATATTATACTTCTTGCCAAAAGATTCATTTATGTTTCAAGTATAAAACAACAAACACTTTCCCTTGAGGGATTTCTTAAGTTATTAAAAGATATATATACAACTGAAAAATATATAGCTAGGAAAAACAATTGCTTAGATCCCTTTATAAGGAAATGGAAACACTTAGATACCTTACTATGTGCTAAACATTAAAGTCCACTTATAATATCAGCTGAGACCTCCAGACCCTACTCACTACAACCATACTATTCAACCGTACCCCTCCAATTTCATATTCCCTCCACAGAAACTTTAATGACATCTTATGTATCTATATAATTGTTGTAATCTCATGATGTTATATTTATATATATGTATACATGCGTGTATGTATGTGCATATGTATGTATATGTATATATGTTTGTGTGCGCGTGTGTGTATATGTTTGCAATACTGTCTTTTATGTCATATAGAATCTTGCAAAACATCACTGAAGCTATATACATATATATTTGGTTATTGTCCTCTTTGCCATATGTATTTTATGTGAGACTTGAAATGGAATAAACAAAACAAAAAACCCCCAAAAACAAAAGTTCTATCAGGCTTGGATGTTATATCATGTACTTCTTGCATCATTGGAGCAGCAATAAGCAAGACCATTGAATATATATTCAACATGTGATACAAGGCCAGGAGATTGCTATCGAGTTGTGTGTGAATGTAGGTGTGTAAGAAGGTGAATGAGTGTTCGTCCTAATGGAGAAAAACCTTCTTCCTCTGTACATCCTATAAACACCCACGAAATACACTATTACATGTTTTGCATGCTGGAACTCACATTACCCTGGGTGTGAGTTATCCCATTTGTAACAGGGAAGGAGGAAATAAAATATGTAAAAAAAAATATACAAAAATGAAACACAACTTTTTGGATGACAACTTCTTATTTATTCGACACCTTATATATATAATATGTAGATATTCGACATATGAGATATAGATATTCTACAACAACATAGTTGTTGAGCGACGTTTCGATGTAGATTCTTACATCATTATCAAGCTAAAGGTGAATACAAACAGATGATGAGAGGTATATATACATAGTATGTTTCGACAAACACTAGATTAACATTAACAACAACATGTAATTGAAAAACAACTGGTACATAATTAGGAGAGGCCAGTGAGAGACAACAAATGAGACTGGTTACAAAGCCAATAAAAAAAGTTTGTAATAACAAGCTGATTGGGTGCTTTTATAGAGTCTATAGTTTGATTAATTCTTCATAGGCCGATGGTATGTAGTATCCTTGGGTTCTGTTGATCAAAGGTTTGTGGTGGGGGATTTGATGGCTTCCAAAAGTTATTATTTTGTGAAGTCCTTATTCTTGGTTGATAGGATTTCAAATTTGTCAAACTTGATTTGATGGGTAGGGAATGTTTAAATTTAATTAGTGTTGCTACAGGTAATAAAACAAAGAGGTTTCAGTTATTGGAGGCTAAGTCTGATGGGTTCTGAAACACTTCTTTTTTGTTTCAGAATATTTACCACAGATAAGTAGGGCACGGAGCTGGTCTTCAACATAGTTTAGGCCGA